CCTCCTCGGCCTCACCGACCGGACTTCTGCTTCCCTGGGCTTTCCCAGGCCTCCCTGTGCGCTGTGACAGCCAAAGTTTGCTTTCTACAAAGTCACCTCCAGGCAGTGACTGTCCACCAGGGCACTCCTGAGCCTCCCAGCTAATGATGAGGTCATTCACTCTCCTCTCGACCTTCCTGGACCACTTATCTAAAATAGCAAACATTCCCCTGCTGTTTGGTCCATTAGAGTACTTTATTTGCTTATCACTCTTAGGTACCACGGTTCTGGTACTTACCGCCACCTGGAATTCTGTGGCACTTTCTTTGCTGGCTTGTTTATTGTTTCTTGCCCACCCCTGCCCTCTGCCCAAAAAGTACAAAGTTCCCTTCTTATTTGTCTTGTAGCCCCAGCACCTGGCACAGCACCTGCCCAGAGGTGAGCCCTTCTGCCAGGAGGGGTCCAACTGAACGAACGTGTGTATGGGTTAGGAACTGTCCCACTCACTGCTAGTAACAGAGTCAACTCCAAAGGCTTTGGCTAATTTTTGTATTTTTTAGTAGAGATGGGGTTTTGCCACATTGACCAGGCTGGTTTCAAACTCCTGACCTCAGGTGATCGCCCCATGTTGGCCCCTCAAAATGCTGGGATTACAGGTATGAGCCACCACAACTGGCCATCATTCCATATTACTCTCTAGCTTAAGAGGCTCCAAGGGCTTTCTGTCAGGCTTAGAATAAAATCTCACCCCTACCCTAGGAGGGGCCAGACCCCTCCCACCTCCCTGACTGCATCTACCACCACCCAACTCTTTTTTTTTTTTTTTTTTTAACTATAGTTCAGCCAAACAGGCTTTCTTTTTTTTTCTTTTACTTTCTGTTTTTTCTTGAAACAGAGTCTCACTCTGTCACCCAGGCTGGAGTGCAGCAATCCTCTAACCTCAGCCCACTGAGCAGCTAGGACTACAGGCATGTGCCACCACACCTGGCTAATTTTTTAAAATCTTTGGTAGAGATGGGATCTCACTATGTTGCCCAGGCTGGTCTCAAATGCCTAGGCTCAAGTGATCCCCTGCCTCAGCCTCCCAAAGTGCTGGGATTACAGGCATAGGCCACTGAGCCTAGCTCAGACTTTTTTGCTGTTCCCTGAACCTGAAACCAGCACCCATCTCAGGCCCTAACTTACTATCCCATCTACCTGGACTTTTGTTTATAGATCTTTGCGTGGCTGGTTCCAGGTCACCGGCCCCTGCTCTGAGCACCTTCCTGGACCAGCTTATAAGAAAGCAAACATCCCCTGCTGTTTGGTCCATGTAGAGTACTTTATTTGCTTATGCACATCTTAGGTACCACGCGTTCTCGGTACTTACCGCCACCTGGAAGTTCTGTGGCACGTTGTCTTTGCTGCTTGTTTAGTTGTTTCTTGCCACCCCTGCCCTCTGCCCAAAAACGTACAAAGTTCCCTATGCTTATCTTGTCTTGTAGCCCCAGCACCTTGGCCACAGCACACTGCCCAGAGAGTGAGCCCTTCTGCCAGGGAGGCGGTCCAAACTGAGACGAACGTGTGTATGGGTTAGGGAACTGTTTTTTTTTTTTTTTTTTTTGTTTTTTTTTTTTTTTTTTTTTTTTTTGTACTGTTTTCTCCCACCTCACTGCTTAGTGTAACAGAGTCAACTCCAAAGCTTTTCTTTTTTTTTTTTTTTTTTTGAGACGAGAGCGGCTCGGGT